GACATTATTACTCTTTGAAGATGTCATTTTTTTCTTTGAACTGCCACCTTCGCAAATGTAATGTCATAAAAGTGACATTATTACAAATCAGTGTTGGATTAAACATCAATTATGAAATTTTTCTTAAGTTTTTTAATCTCAAAGTAAAAATGTTATCTTCATAGATGTAATGCCACATAAATGACATTCTTCAAAAAAATTATTGACAATTTTATGGCATTATCAGATTCTTGCTTTATAAATAAAACTGAAATCCACAGAACAAGATAACAGAGTACCAGAAAATTGAAGAGGCTGAGAAGAAGAAGAAGAAAAAGAAGAAGAAAAGAAGAGGAAGAAGAAGAAGAGTACATACCTGACTTGAATTGACTGGAAAATTGCAGCAGAGGTCATCCTTGGCAGAGCTGCGGCGATGCGAGAATCGTTGAAGAGTGGCGGCCGGCGTCGAGCAAGCAGCGGCGACGATAGCAGGTCGAGTCGAGGGTGGTTGAGCTGAGTCGCAAGGGGAAATACTCGCAGGTATCACGATCGATGCAGGCAGAGGGATTGGGGAAAAGGTGTTTTGGGGATTGGGGGTAAAAATGTAATCAGGGATCCCATTTATGCAATTTAAAACTTCAAGTCCTATTTTGGAGTTTTAACCATGTTTTAGTCTCATTTAGGATAATTTCTAATTTCAAATCAAACAATAAAATTTTGAGAGCACGTTTGGTAACACTGAAATTGGCTGAATCGGCTGACTTTGCTTAAATTTATAAAGTTCTGGTTAAAGTGGTTGTATTGGCTGATTCTGCTAATTTATGAAAAAAATTATATTTAAAATATATTTTGTTAATATAATAAAGAAAAAGTTATATGAGAAAATAGCTAAAATGGTTATTTGCAGTAACTTCAGCAAATACAGTCAGAAAAGTAATTTCAATCTTACATTTTCTTATTATTACACAATTCAGCGCGTCAAATCAAAAATTACGTGTTTGGTAAAAAAATGGTTGATAAACTTGATAAGTCGAAAAACATTGATACCAAACAGGCTATAAATGTAACATATACAAAATGCATTACAAAATGTACTTTTTAATACGCAAATATCTTAAAGTGCAAAATTTATACGACCATCACTAATCAAGAGTAGCTAACATTTTTAAAAAAATAGAAGAAATTGTTTTTACATATCCGTCTATAGAGCTAACAAGTGATTGTAAATAATCTCTTCTCATCTAATTTTTTCTCTTCAGACCTCCCGACTCAAATTTTATACCAACATATTTATAGATAATACGAAATGCACAAACAAATTAATTCAAAACTTAAATTTTGTAAATGCACTCACAAATAAAATAAAATAAAATATCTAATTTAGTGGGATGAATGCAATCACACTAATTACACACTTGTACTCGGTATTTAATATTTAGGCATTTAGAAACTAAGTATTTAACTCAAATACTAAAAAGTATTTAACTCAAATACTAAAAAGTTAAAATCCTTGACCTCTTGCTTGGACAGTATTTAGACATCTAGACCTCTTGCTTGGACAGCACTGTTCAACCACTCTCATGAACCCAGTTCTTCATCACCGACCCGGCGACCCCCCACCCACCCACCCACCCACCCCCCCAATTCATATCGCCTTCCTCACACAGCCGCTCAAACATCCTAAATCCTCCACAATCCCACACCCCCAATTCACGTCTGTAACCTTCTCGCACGAAGAAATATAATCCGGGGGCAAACAAGCTCTCCTTCGCGTTCTTGAGTTCTTTTCTATTGCTGGATATCGATGGTCTAAACTTTAGGAATCGTATCTTCATTTCTGCTTCGGCCTTCCAACTTCTAATTCTAGTAACTAAATTCCAAAATTAAATTGGCATATGGAGTACTTTGTTTTTTGAGGCCCTCCCCTAATGTGAGGCCCTAGGCAAACGCCTAGGCTGACTGGCCCCAAAGCCGGCCCTGTACTTTGACTACATTTTACACTATTATTTTATGGAAAATATTTTTTTAAAACAAAATATTTTTCAATTCATCTCATTACAAATTTTCAATATCTGATTTTTAATATTTTTTATTAATAGAGATTAATATATACTTACGGTCAAATTTATGCGTAGTCAAATGTGCAAAGGTTGACTGTTGCAACTAAAAAAGAACAGAGGAAGTATATAGGTAATATAGTAGAAGGTATATATACATAGGGAAATTATCAAAATAGAAGAAAAACAACATGAAATTCCAAAATAGAAATGTTACGCCAAGAGTATATATGTTCTTTCTTAAATAGGAGTAAGTTAGCTACTGTAATTTTTAAAAAATACTGTCAAATTTTGGCATTACGCAATATTAATATGACAATATAAAGACATAGTTAGGTTGATAGCATTCTCCTAGCATGACAATATTTATCGCATGGTTTTAAATTGTCGTTGCGGTAGCAGTTATGACTATTGTAGCCGCTGCTAAACGTATTCTGTTCGATGCAAAATGAATAAGTTGTGGGTATTGTTATATTATGAGACCGTTTGATGAGCCATAATTTTGAGTTATCAATCAACTTTTTCACCAAATAAGTAACGTTTGATTCCGTGCGCTCAAATGTGTAACAATAATCAAAATAAGTAAGGTTGGATCGTGTTACTTTTGTTATTGAATTGGCTGAAGTTACTATAGAGGAATCATTTAAGCTATTTTTCCATATATGTTTTCTATATTTTATTAATAAAATACATTTTAAATATAACTACTCCATATTTCATAATTTAGCACATTCAACTAATTCAGCCGCTTCGACCAGAGCTTAAGAAAATTTCAAAAGAACCAGTCGTACGTTTCAGCCGATTCAATGTTACCAAACAGACTCTAAAATTAAATTAGTAACATTCCACTTTTACCATCAAATTAAAAACTCTCCAATTAAATATTCATATACGGATGTGCGCCATAATTAAAAGGTATTTTGCTATTTGAGACAATCAAGTCCGAATTGATAATCCTTATTTTCATCATATCAAGTTTACAGCTAACTTTTTGTCTTTTTGTCAAGTTCATAATTTTTTATTTGCGCGCTCAATTGTGTAATAATCAATATAATATTAATATGGTTGAAGTTACTTTTTTGATTGAATTGTGACTTTAGTTATATTTCATCTAAATTTTTCTAAAATTACATTTTCAATACAATATTTCCATGATTCAATCCATTCGAATAATTCAGCAGCTTCAATTAAAATGTCATGGATTTCAACATATATATTCATCCCATTAAATCAATTTCAATATTGTCGAATGCTAAGATGAGATGAGTGAGCCTAGTGATTTGTTGCGTACCCTTTTTTTTCTTTCTTTTTTTACTCTGGAAGGTAAACCACCAAAATCAGTGCACTACAAGAAATTCGGATTTTTATGACGGATTTTAGTGGCAGATGTGTGTTTGCCAGGAATCTTTAATTTGGCGGAAATTAGTGTCGGATTGACATTCGTCGCAGATTGTTGGTTGATTAGTTCCGTCACCTTTTCTTGGCAGATATTTTTGACGAACACCATTCCAACACAAATTAGAGGCGCCATTTAGTGGCGGAAGAAGTCGCCACTAAACAGCAACGAAAATATCCACCACAAAATTCCGTCACTATAGTGAAAAATATGCTAATACCACTACAATAAAATTGATTTATAGAGGCATCACAAAATTGCCCCTAAAAGTAGGAAAATTGCCTCTAATTCTCTTTGAGGCAATTTACTGGTTGCCTTGAAATACTCCGTCGCTAAATGATGGTTGCCTCTAATGCGGTTTTTTGAGGCAATAGAAGGTTTGCTTCTAAAAAGCACACGTTTAGAAGCAACCAAAAGGATTTGTCTCAAAATGTTATTAGAGGCATTTATGTACATTGTTTCAAAATGTCATTAGAGGCAACATCTTTGCATGATTCAAGACACTATTAGAGTCACCCATACGTGTGATGCTAAAATGATGTTTAGAGGCAGTCACTTCATCTTAACCTCGATATCTCACACACACATATTGTATTAAAATACACAGTACTCCGTATTTAGATGAAACTACAACTTCATCAATCATCAAAGATACTTTGTTAAGTACATACGAAAGTCAAAAGTACATCAATCGTTCACAGTAACAAAAAAACTTCATAGCATGTCAAAATGAAGCTTAACAACTGGATAATGTAATAAACAACTTATAAACTTCTAACAATTTCATAAATCTCACTAATCCACAAATTATTACAACATTCAGAATGAAAAGGTATTTACTATAAACTCATGGAATGAAGAAACATCTCTTTCGTCGGGTTATTGATCTTGTGGACCTGGCATGCTGTTAATTTGTTGATTAAAACTACAAGTTCATGGAAGAAACGTCTCTTCAGTCAGTTTCTTGATCTTCTTCACCAGCTTGCATTTTGCTAGGCTTCTTGTGGACCTGACATGTTGTAAATTTGTTGATTAGGACTTCATTATATAAATTTTTTTAAAATAAAATAGAGAGAGAAAAATAAAGAAATACCTGAAGTGCAAGTTAAATTACTGGAACAATGCCTTTTTAAGTGTTACGAGCTTCTCCGTTCAATCTTTCATAGTGTTCAACTCTATCATTAAAGTGTTTGACTCTTTAAGAAGTAAGATTGTGCTTTGTACCTCTAGTAAACAAACTCAAAACCATTTTCTGTAAAATGGTCTTCAGAATAATCAACCTAGAGATCATAGTCACTCGTGTACGTGAAATCAAAACCAGAACTCAATTATTCACCAGCAAAAAGAATCACGACTCTCATGCAAGAGAACAAAAGAAACTTCTACTAAACCAGCAATATAAGAAACCCAATCAACAAGTAAAGAGCCTTACAAGTTAACAATAGTAGAGTATCACAGTAGGAAGCTCAGTCAATCGAATATAATCTGATCTCCCAAATAAATCCCTTAGAATGCAACGAACATTCATTCAAAACAAAAGGGGGAATTCCCAAATAATAGCTGATATAATTTAGGAATATTGTGTATTTTGGAAACTGATATTTTATTATAAATATACCTACCAAGGCTCCTAAGGGAGTACGGCTTTCCCATTATTCTCACATGGTATCAGCCTCGCGGACGGGGTGGCCGTGGACGGGGTGGCGGTCGCGGCAGAACAGGACGCGGACGTGGCCGCGGTCAGCCACATCAGTACGGGGCACCGCAGCAGTACTATGGAGCTCCTCCGCCCTTCTTCGGTCAGCAACCGCAGGCCTCCATCCAGCAGCACTACACCGGCCAGCAGGGACAACAACTTTCAGGCGGGCAGCTTCTTGGGGGACAGCAGCCGGGTCCTTCCAGCCAGACCTACAGCAAGCCTTCAGTACCGTTCCAGGGGGTGCAATCCTCCTTCTCGAGCACTACAGGTTCTGCTAGTAATATTGTTGTGTCCAATTTAAATACTAATCCCTTCTATATTTGTGGTACTCACACTAGCTATGCAGGCTTTCCATCGGGTGAGGGCATTCTTGGGTCCATTCCACCACCTGTCGTCTGTCAATTATGTTTCAATGCAGGTCATTCTGCTCTTCAGTGTCCATCCCGCTTTAGTCAGCCTTCTACACCAGCCCTGCTTACCACTAATGGTGAATCAAATACTGCTTTATGGTATCCTGACTCGGGTGCATCTGCTCACATGACTCCTACAGAAGGTATTTTAGTTAATAAATTTCCTTATACTGGACCACTCTCTGTTAGTGCTGCAAATGAATCTAAATTATCTATAGCTAATATTGGTGATGTTTCTTTAAATACTTCTCCTCGTCCTCTCACGCTGAAATCAGTTTTTCATGTGCCTCATATTAAATTTAATCTTCTTTCCATTCAAAAATTGTGCGCTGATAACAACTGTATTGTAATTTTTGATAAAAATTCTTTTTTTGTTAAGGACAAACTCTCGGGGGCGGTTCTTCTACAAGCACCTAGTCATGGTCATCTTTATCCAGTCAGCCTCAGTTCTCCATCACTACTAGCTTTGTCCTCTATCACTGCCTCCGGGCCCATTTGGCACCGTAGATTAGGCCATTGTGGCACTTCTGTTTTACGAACTTTACATAGTCAGCAGCATATTTGTAGTCACTCTAGTTTTTCTCATGATTGTATTTCTTGCCGCTTGGGCAAATCTCAACGATTACCTTTTACGGATGCTAGTCATAATTGTTCTATGCCTTTGCAATTAATTCATTCGGATGTTTGGCAGTCTCCTATTTTATCAAATATGGGTTTTAAATATTATGTCTGTTTTATTGATGACTTCTCTCGATTTACCTGGCTTTATCCCATGAAAAATAAGAGTGAAGTGTTTCGCCATTTTCAGTCTTTTAAATCCTTAGTTGAAAATCTTTTTAATACTAAAATTAAAATTTTTCAAAGTGATGGAGGAGGTGAATTTGTTAATTTTAATATGCAGCAATTTTTTGATCATCATGGCATTTATTTTCGCAAATCCTGTCCAGACACACCTCAACAAAATGGGGTTGCTGAACGTAAACATCGACATCTCTTGGAACTCACTAGAACTATGCTTCTTGAAGCCTCTATTCCTAGTTTATTCTGGGTTGATGCCATTTTTACGGCTGCATATATTATTAACCGTTTACCATCTCCGTTACTTGGAAATATCTCTCCTTATGAAAAACTATTTCAACAATCACCTGATTACTCCTTCATGCGTGTGTTTGGTTGTTCTTGTTTTCCCAATATTACTGCCACATCCTCTAACAAACTCTCACCACGGTCTGTCCACTGTGTCTTTATTGGCTATGCATCTGGGTATAAAGGGTATCGTTGTCTTGAACCCAAGTCTGGTAAAATTTACATCAGTCGTCACGTTAAGTTTTTCGAAAATAATTTTCCTTTCCCTTTACTAACTTCTACCAGCCATGAATCTCCTTCTCCACCTATCCCATCTGACTTTCAGTTGACCAACACCATTCGGCCACATTCTTCCGCACCAGCAGCTCTGCCACCGATCAGCTTCCCTGCCTCACCGATCATCGCCCAGACCCCTCCTACCAGTCCTCCCTCCAACCGGTCAGCTTCTAGTCATGAAACCACACATCGAACTCCCAGCCCGCTACACTATACCTTTGGCCAGCCTAGTTCCCAGTCCCTCTCGTCTGCCAGTCATGCTTCGTCCTACCCAACCACTCCACGCGACCAAACCATCACCCCTCAGTCTGATCATATTCCTGTCAGTTCGTCCAGTCCACATAATACTCACACCTCCGTCTCCACTGATGCTTCCACCGCCCCACTTCATAATATGCATCCCATGCAAACCCGGGCTAAGTCCGGTATTTTTAAACCAAAATCAATTTTTACATTAAATACAGTTGTTAGCACTGATCCTACGTGTTTTTCTGAGGCTCATAAAAGTTTGGTTTGGCGTGAAGCTATGGCAGATGAATTTAATGCACTTATCACTAATAATACTTGGGATTTAGTTCCATATGATAGCACTAAAAATGTGGTTGGGTCTAAGTGGATTTACAAAACTAAATTTCATTCTGATGGAACCATTGAGCGCCATAAAGCACGACTAGTTGCTCAAGGTTTTAATCAGCAGGCTGGTGTGGATTTCTCGGAAACATTCAGTCCGGTTGTCAAACCCACCACGGTTCGTATTGTTCTTACTCTTGCTATTTCTTTTGGGTGGGTTATGCGTCAGTTAGATGTCAAAAATGCGTTTCTTCATGGACACCTTACAGAAGAAGTCTATATGCGTCAGCCCCGAGGTTTTGTTCATCCCCAATTTCCTAATTATGTGTGTCGTCTGCGCAAAGCCATTTATGGCCTTAAGCAGGCTCCCCGGGCTTGGTTTCACCGTTTTAGCAGCTTTCTTCTCGTTAATAATTTTTCCTGCAGCAAATCAGATAACTCTCTATTTATTTATCGTCAGGACCAGTCTGTGATTTACCTATTGTTATATGTTGATGACATTATTATCACGGGCAGTTCTCCCTCTCTTGTCTCATCCTTTATCCAACGCATAGCATCTCACTTTGCCATGAAAGATCTTGGAAATCTTCATTATTTTTTGGGTGTTCAGGCAATTCACAATTCCAAAGGTCTTTTTCTGTCTCAACAAAAATATGTGTCTGATCTTCTCCTTCGCTTTCACTTACACACTCTCAAGTCTGTTCGTACACCACTTGCTACTCGTACCACACTCTCTCTTACTGATGGTGAGCTTTTGGCTGATGCTACTGAGTATCGCAGTATGGTAGGTGCATTACAGTATTTAACTTTGACACGACCTGATATTACTTATGCAGTTCATTTAGTGTCTCAGTTTATGCATGCTCCTCGTACTACTCACATGTTTGCTGTCAAGCGTATTTTTCGTTATCTTCAGGGTACCATCGACCACGGATTGTGGTTACAGAGGTCGGCTAGCCCACTGTGTATTTTGGCTTATTCTGATGCTGATTGGGCCGGCTGTCCGGACAGCTCTCGTTCGACTACAGGTTTTGCGGTCTTCTTGGGTCCTAATCTTGTTTCATGGAAGTCCAAGAAGCAACCTACGGTATCCAAATCTTCTACAGAGGCGGAATATCGTGCTATTGCCTACACTGTACAGGACACATTGCACATCCGATCCATTCTTTTTGAGCTCGGCCTACCAGTACGGGTACCTGTTCAACTTTTCTGTGATAATATCTCTGCCTCCTACTTGACAGCAAATCCAGTTCAGCATGCTCGTAGCAAGCACATTCAGATCGATTATCATTTTGTTCGTGAGCGAGTTGCACATGGTGATTTAGTTGTTAAATATGTTCCTACTCATCTTCAGTTAGCTGATATTTTCACTAAAAGTTTATCTAGTCAGCAATTTCATTTTCTAAAAGACAACCTGCGCGTTGTATCTCCCGCACAGCTTGAGGGGGTGTAATAGCTGATATAATTTAGGAATATACCTACCAAGGCTCCTAAGGGAGTACGGCTTTCCCATTATTCTCACACCAAAATGCAGGATTTTTATGTCTGCCACGCCAAAATACGGGAAAGGCATTTGGGGTACCAAAATAGGGGGTCGGAATTGGGTGTTCCGACTAGAGGGAGGGTTACATTTTCGGCAGAACCCCTCCTGTCGGAATTGGCGAATCCGCCTAGGAAACCTATTTTGTAATTATGAATTATATATCTTGAATGAATTAAAATAAAAAAAATCATTCCATTTTATCCTGTCGGAATTGGTAAATTCGACCAGGAGAAAAACTTCCTAAACATCAAAGAATTAGTGGGAAGCATTTTAGGTTGGACACAATTTGTAAACAATTCGTAAACTATGCATCAATGATTTTTAAATTTAGACGGATAAATTACTCTATATAGTATTAAAAATTGTAAAATACAATTCAATAATTTCTCGCATTTAAATAAAATTTGAGTAATTAAGGATATTTTCACTCGGACTATAAATTGTCCCAGACCAGACTTGAGTAGTTATAAAAATACAAAGAAATTAAATCAGATCAGACTAGACCAGACCAGACCAGAAAATTACAGTTCAAGTAAAAATATCCTAAGTCATATGAACTGAAAATTACACAAAAATAAGAACTCAAATACACGTTTAACACTTTAATTTAAAAAAAAAACGCTTTTTAAATTTATTACCGTATGTACCAATTTATTAATAAATTACATTGAAAACTACATATCTTTTGTTCACTTCCATTAAAATTACAAAATTGCATTTTAAACAAAATCAAATTTATATTTCATTTTATGAATTTAATTGGATGGATTAAAAATTAAAACAAAGTAACCAATGTTTTCTTTTTCAAAAAATAAAAAAATAAACTACATGTTTTTCATTTTAGAAAATATAAATGTAAATACAATTAAAAGTTACACGTCACTTTACAATTACAAATATCACTTTTAGTATAGATAAACAAACGAATCAATAAACTTACGCCTCACATAACAATTCATAAACAAAACCGTATGGGCATAATATTAAAGAAAACTTGTAATCGGATTTTGCAATTCCGACAGGAATGAAAAAAAAAACACTTGCTTTTGGGATTCCAACTTCCGAGTGGAAGAACCATGTAAATTTTTTTGAAAGCCTAACTCTAGTCGGAATAGCGGATTCCGACTACCGCTTTCTTAGAAACCCTATTTAACTTTTCCCGTAAATTGGGAAAACACCCCAGATTAAGAGCGAGTTGGCCACGGAACTAGATTAAAAGCAATTGAATGATTGAACTATTGGCAAAAGCTTGTAAGTTGTAATCGGCCAATTTTTTTTTTTTTAAAATTAAATTGCATATTTTTCATGAAATATACCATATGTCCACTAATTTTGAGCTTAAAAATCATTCGAAAAGTCCGTTAAATAAATTATTGAAAAAAATTACGTCAAAATACGTATATAAAACGCAATATTTTTCAATATTTTATTTACCCCACTTTCCAATTAAATTTTGAGCGGAAATTTTGTGGATATAATCTACACTTCATATAGAACATGCTCACAGAATCTCATCAAAAAGTTCTACTCCGAAGCACCTCAAATGGAGGTGGCCAGACTACAGCGT